AGCACTAGAACATACGACCCGCCATCTTTCTCCGTCTTCCGCTTGTTGGACAAGTGTATCATTTAGTCTTGTCCATTTCTGAATGTTGCCATTGGGGATTCTTCTCAACCACGCCCCCCCCTCCTCCTTTTTTGTTTTGTTTTGCTTCTTGGTCACGCCCCAACGCCTCTGTCAGGTATAAGGCAGGGACAGTGACGGCAGATCAAGAACTGTCACAGTGCGTATGACAAGCGTCCCCTCAGGTGTGCCCAGTGAGTATAACAAGCGTCATTTCAGGTGTGCCCAATGAGTATAACAAGCGTCACCTAAGGTGTGCCCAGTGAGCATAACAAGCGTCCCCTCAGGTGTGCCCAGTGAGTATAACAAGCGTCCCCTCAGGTGTGCCCAGTCAGTATAACAAGCGTCATTTCAGGTGTGCCCAATGAGTAAAACAAGCGTCATTTCAGGTGTGCCCAGTGAGCATAACAAGCGTCACCTCAGGTGTGCCCAATGAGTATAACAAGCGTCACCTCAGGTGTGCCCAATGAGTATAACAAGCGTCACCTCAGGTGTGCCCAGTGAGCATAACAAGCGTCCCCTCAGGTGTGCCCAGTGAGTATAACAAGCGTCATTTCAGGTGTGCCCAATGAGTATAACAAGCGTCACCTCAGGTGTGCCCAATGAGTATAACAAGCGTCACCTCAGGTGTGCCCAGTAAGTATAACAAGCGTCACCTCAGGTGGGCCCAGTCAGTATAACAAGCGTCACCTCAGGTGTGCCCAGTCAGTATAACAAGCGTCACCTCAGGTGTGCCCAGTCAGTATAACAAGCGCCACGTCAGGTGTGCCCAGCGAGCGTGACAGGCGTCACGTCAGGTGTGCCCAGCGAGCGTGACAGTCGTCACGTCATGGTGCGCCCACTATCGCCATCTTCTCTGCTACCAGCAGTTCTCCAGATATTTCTCTTATTTCCTCACCTTTCTCTAATTCCCCCCATTTGATTTCATCAATTTCGTTAGGCATTTTATCAAATTTGCAATGAAATATCTAAACTCTAAAGATTTACAAGTTGAAAACCCATTTATACTTTGCCTAAATGCCCATAACCTACAAGACTACAAAACGAGAACCCACTCATCCTTTGCTTACATTCCCAAAGCTGAGGCAATTTATAGTCGGGAAAAAATAAGCAATTACTTACATGGGACAAAGCAGAATCCCGATCTCTGGTCTGAAAAATCACAGCCATTCTCAAAATAATACAAACAAATCTGTAAGGGTTCTCAAATTTGGTTTGGCTAGAACATTCACAGCCGTGGCAGCTGGTTCTTATCATACCTCTGGATGCTGGTGACGTCAGCAACAAACAGAACGTCTTCGTACATAATTGTGGGAGGAGTAACGTGTCTATTCACATAATTGTGGGAGGGGTAACGTGTCTATTCACATAATTGTGGGAGGGGTAACGTGTCTATTCACATAATTGTGGGAGGAGTAACGTGTCTATTCACATAATTGTGAGAGGAGTAACGTGTCTATTCACATAATTGTGGGAGGGGTAACGTGTCTATTCACATAATTGTTGGAGGGGTAACATGTCTATTCACATAATTGTGGGAGGAGTAACGTGTCTATTCACATAATTGTGGGAGGGGTAACGTGTTTATTCACATAATTGTGGGAGGGGTAACGTGTCTATTCACATAATTGTGGGAGGGGTAACGTGTCTATTCACATAATTGTGGGAGGAGTAACGTGTCTATTTACATAATTGTGGGAGGGGTAACGTGTCTATTTACATAATAGTGGGAGGAATAACGTTTCTATTTACATAATTGTGGGAGGGGTAACGTGTCTATTTACATAATAGTGGGAGGAATAACGTGTCTATTTACATAATAGTGGGAGGAATAACGTGTCTATTTACATAATAGTGGGAGGAATAACGTGTCTATTTACATAATAGTGGGAGGAAAAACGTGTCTATTTACATAATAGTTTGAGGAATAACGTGTCTATTTACATAATAGTGGGAGGAATAACGTGTCTATTTACATAATTGTGGGAGGGGTAACGTGTCTATTCACATAATAGTGGGAGGAATAACGTGTCTATTTACATAATTGTGGGAGGGGTAACGTGTCTATTTACATAATAGTGGGAGGAATAACGTGTCTATTTACATATTAGTGGGAGGAATAACGTGTCTATTTACATAATAGTTTGAGGAATAACGTGTCTATTTACATATTAGTGGGAGGAATAACGTATCTGTTTACATAATTGTGGGAGGAATAACGTATCTATTTACATAATTGTGGGAGGGGTAACGTGTCTATTCGCATAATTGTGGGAGGGGTAACGTGTCTATTAACATAATTGTGGGAGGGGTAACGTGTCTATTTACATAATAGTGGGATGAATAACGTGTCTATTTACATAATAGTGGGAGGAGTAACGTGTCTATTTACATAATAGTGGGAGGAGTAACGTGTCTATTTACATAATAGTGGGAGGAATAACGTGTCTATTTACATAATAGTGGGAGGAATTACGTGTCTATTTAAATAATAGTGGGAGGAATAACGTGTCTATTTACATAATAGTGGGAGGAATAACGTGTCTATTTACATAATAGTGGGAGGAATAACGTGTCTATTTACATAATAGTGGGAGGAATAACGTGTCTATTTACATAATTGTGGGAGGAATAACGTGTCTATTTACATAATAGTGGGAGGAATAACGTGTCTATTTATATAATAGTGGGAGGAATAACGTGTCTATTTACATAATAATGGGAGGAATAACGTGTCTATTTACATAATTGTGGAAGAATAACGTGTCTATTTACATAACACAGGTAGGGATAATAGGTCTATGTAACGAAATAACATGTTCATTGTACACAATACGCAGATGAAAAACATCTCTATGAACAAAATACAGGAAAGAAGAGCATACCCGTGTACACAATAAAGAAACAATTATAACTTATGTGTACACAATACAGGACTACACCAGTACTGAATTTATAGCACTCTATGTACACGTACAGCCGATAAGACAGGTGTACACGCACAAATAGATTCAGAAGTGATCAGTATTAGGACACCTGCGTGTGACAGGGTCTACAGGGGAGCCACAGAGTAGTAGTGCTGCAACTTTACACACACGCTGTAAGAGGCTGCAACTTTACACACACGCTGTAAGAAACTGCAACTTTACACACACGCTGTAAGAGGCTGCAACTTTACACACACGCTGTAAGAGTCTGCAAATTTACACACACACACTGTAAGAGGTTGCAACTTTACATGGACGCTGTAAGAGATTGCAACTTTACACACACGCTGTAAGAGGCTGGAATTTTACACACACGCTGTAAGAGGTTGCAACTTTACATGCTCGCTGTAAGAGGTTGCAACTTTACACACACGCTGTAAGAGGCTGCAACTTTACATGCTCGCTGTAAGAGGTTGCAACTTTACACACACGCTGTAAGAGGCTGCAACTTTACATGCTCGCTGTAAGAGGTTGCAACTTTAGACACACACTGTAAGAGGCTGTGGCTGTGGATGGATCTGTGCTGCATTAGAACATGACAGGTGAAGAAACAGAAGAGAAGACAAACAGGTGTGCAGGTTTACCTAGGCTGAATACAGCCTGACAGGTGTGCAGGTTTACCTAGGCTGAATACAGCCTGACAGGTGTGCAGGTTTACCTAGGCTGAATACAGCCTGACAGGTGTGCAGGTTTACCTAGGCTGAATACAGCCTGACAGGTGTGCAGGTTTACCTAGGCTGAATACAGCCTGACAGGTGTGCAGGTATACCTAGGCTGAATACAGCCTGACGGGTGTGCAGGTATACCTAGGCTGAATACAGCCTGACAGGTGTGCAGGTATACCTAGGCTGAATACAGCCTGACAGGTGTGCAGGTATACCTAGGCTGAATACAGCCTGACAGGTGTGCAGGTATACCTAGGCTGAATACAGCCTGACAGGTGTGCAGGTTTACCTAGGCTGAATACAGCCTGACAGGTGTGCAGGTTTACCTAGGCTGAATACAGCCTGACAGGTGTGCAGGTTTACCTAGGCTGAATACAGCCTGACAGGGTGTGCAGGTTTACCTAGGCTGAATACAGCCTGACAGGTGTGCAGGTTTACCTAGGCTGAATACAGCCTGACAGGTGTGCAGGTTTACCTAGGCTGAATACAGCCTGACAGGTGTGCAGGTTTACCTAGGCTGAATACAGCCTGACAGGTGTGCAGGTTTACCTAGGCTGAATACAGCTGGAGTTGACAGCATATGAACATGTGTACAGACATTATACAGTTTTTAATGTGAGGCCTATTTCTGCACATATACAAACATGGGATAAATTTGAAACGGGCAGTTTCTGTGTATGCACAAATAGGTTATGTTAAATTATGTTATCATAATCAACGTCTATGCACACTGGGTCTCCCAGTGCGTGCTCAGTCCTACGATGCAGCAGCCACTTCAGTGTATCTCTACTGATTGTTCCCATAAAGAGTTGGTTATATTTTCTTCTGTCATTAATCGAAGACCACAAAGACATGCTTTACCAAGCTCAGCTCCTCAGTCACGTAGTCATTTTAGCGTCAGAGATTCGCCATTATCAGTCAATCTAGTCACCTAACCACAGCAAAGATAAGTGACAGTCCAAGTGGACAAAATGATTGGCTGGCTGGCTGGCTGACTAGATTGGCTGGTTGATATGCTGGCTGTCTGATTGGTTGATTGGCTGGCTAGATGACAGATTGGTTGGTACGACAGCTTCCAAAAATAATACTTCTATAGACCTATACTTGACAAGCCAGAGAAGCGGAGAAAGTTACAAACTACAAAAAAAGCTGGGTAGCAAATAACAACACAAGCAACAGCTTTATCAAAATATTTAGATAACAGAGAGAGGCGAGGAGTCGTGGTGGCCAAAGTCTTGGTGGCAAACGATTGTTACAGACCAGGTAGTTAAAGAAGAAGCCAGTGACTCACCTGTTAGAGAACTCCAGGTCAGAACTGGCTGCCAGAATGTTCAGCATGTTGGGGCTGTTGCGGCTGTACATAGGCTCGTCTTTGCGGACTCCGTCCAGTGTAGCTATGGTATGATGCAGTGTAGTCTTCTCCCCGCCTGTCATCGTGCTGGCGGGTATGGCTGACATTATGATGTGTCCTGGACTCGGCGGGGTCACGTTACGTTCCAAGGTCATCTTGATAGGTCAGGTGAGGCTGGGTTGAGACTAAATCACCTGTTAGAGGTAGAAAACACCTCCATCAGCATGAATGGAGATTACACAGAAATTAGGACGCAGAACTCAGGGCACGCAATTACGAGCTCCGTCATCATCTTCAACAATTGTTCTTGTCCAGTCCACACTCAATGTAAGTAAAAGGTCAAGGACCCTGTTGACTGGTATACATTGCTAGACTGACATGCGTACAGATCAATAGGGATTCGATGTGGTCAAGATCTCACCGGCAGCCTTTACTTCCCAGGACCTGGTACCCATGTTAGACTGGCTCTGCCTGAAAGCCTAGGCCAGTTGTGGAAGGGGGAAAATAGTCTTCGATGTGGACTTGAGCCCCAGCTGTTCAGCCAGTCAAGCGACCTTCTCCTGACTCCCAGCACCCGCGTGTATGGTAAATATCACGTGTTCCGCCCTTACTTCCCATAGCATTTTCTGACAAACAGTTGTCAGTTGGGTACAGTGAAATACCAGCCGCCCCGTTAACACAACAAAACAGTCATCTTGTGACGCAGAGTGATATAACTGAAACAAAAACTTCAAGGGCGACACCCTAACCGCCCCTACCATTGAACTGAACAGCCGAGTGGAGACGATCTTCCTTTAGTCAACAACTGTCACACTTCTGTCGCTGATTTCCTCACAGGAAACAGTGAGCACCATAGAGCAGATCTTTCCAAACGTGGCATATCGGTGACAAACTTTTTCAGACAGCAAAGTTGTTATATCGGTGACAAACTTTTTCAGACAGCAAAGTTGTTATATCGGTGACAAACTTTTTCAGACAGCAAAGTTGTTACATCGGTGACAAACCTTTTCAGACAGCAAAGTTGTCATATCGGTTACAAACCTTTTTAGACAGCAAAGTTGTCATATCGGTTACAAACCTTTTTAGACAGCAAAGTTGTCATATCGGTGACAAACTTTTTTAGACAGCAAAGTTGTCATATCGGTTACAAACCTTTTTAGACAGCAAAGTTGTCATATCGGTTACAAACCTTTTTAGACAGCAAAGTTGTCATATCGGTGACAAACTTTTTTCAGACAGCAAAGTTGTCACATCGGTTACAAACCTTTTTAGACAGCAAAGTTGTCATATTGGTGACACATTTTTTTTAGACAGCAAAGTGGTCATATCAGTGACAAACTTTCTCAGACAGCAAAGTTGTCATATCGGTGACAAACTTTTTCAGACAGCAAAGTTGTCATATCGGTTACAAACCTTTTTAGACAGCAAAGTTGTCATATCGGTGACACATTTTATTTAGACAGCAAAGTGGTCATATCAGTGACAAACTTTTTCAGACAGCAAAGTTGTCATATCGGTTACAAACCTTTTTAGACAGCAAAGTTGTCATATCAGTGAGAAACTTTCGCAGACAGCAAAGTTGTCATATCAGTGACAAACTTTCTCAGACAGCAAAGTTGTCATATCAGTGACAAACTTTCTCAGACAGCAAAGTTGTCATATCAGTGACAAACTTTCTCAGACAGCAAAGTTGTCATATCAGTGACAAAACTTGTTTTAGACATATAATTTTGCTTCATTATGATTCAGTCAACTAGCAAACCAGAGGCTAAACTGTAATAACCATTTTAATGATTTCATGATACAGTCTATGATGTGAAAACTTTCAATTGTTGTCAACAAAATGCTATATTTATAAAAATTGTGTCACTGTTATTATTTTTGAGTAACAACAATAGAACTAATCTGAACAACACCAATAACCGCCCATTATTAGTTTTACTCTTTACGCTCGCGCGACACAGCTTCACAGTGCAGCGGACACACAGTGTCGCGGACACGCAATGACAATAATCCTCATTGAACAGAAGCTATCACACGACCGATAATGTTGGTAACTACAAGCCACGTTGGTAGCCACACTAATCCAACAACCAAAGTACCGCCATACTTGAACATAAGATAGTTGACTGCTAGTACATTGCAGCTTTATCTTCAGCCATCAGACCTTATCTTGCTCAATATCGGAACTGTTCGGCCAGAAATGACACGGTGTGTGCACCCAATTCATGATCGCTAATGGGAAATCCACATGTGTTGTTGTGTGTTTTAGGTCGACCACTCTCGGCGTGCCTCGTGTGTGACACAGTTCCATGACCTGCTCAAAGGATAAATCGACCGCGGAATATTAATCTGAATGACAGTTGCACAGGTACAGCTGGGCCGCCCAGTGTAGGATCCTTCATCGATCAAGTACTGTCTACACAAGGAAAGTTGACTATTGTGGAACTGCAATAATGTCTGACAGAGCGGGTGGAATGATATGTTCACGTGTGACTTATGGTGGTCTGTGTATAAATGTAGCTCTGACAATTCTTAAAGAAGTTGCAGCAAATACTGGAAGCTGATATTATCAAGGAATACAAGAATGTCTTCGCTGAATAGGTTGAGACAACTTGCATACAAAAACCTTATTTCAAATCGACTGTATTATAGGCTGACATAACTCAATCAGATTTTTGCAAAGTGAACGTTTCAACACGTTTTGAAAACGTAAACAATTTCATAACAAATCATACTTTTTATATGTCTGTATGTCTGTCTGTCTGTATGTATGTGTAAATATATAGAGAGTGAGAGCGAGAGAGAGAGAGAGAGAGAGAGAGAGAGAGAGAGAGAGAGGGAGAGAGAGAGAGGGAGGGAGAGAGAGAGAAAAAAAAAACTGGCTACTCAGATGGTGCTGCTTGAATGTCAAAGAGCGAATGAAGTAACGAACTGGATCCCTCATGTCAACAGATTCTAGAACTGAGCGCCGACTCACCCTCTATCACCGCACAGACGATTGTAGGTGTGCCTTACAGGTGGCGAGTACTAGCGACTCTCTTCTGCTGGAGCAACAACGACAAGCTTCTTCGCGTTCATCAGCTGTAAACTCTGGCGGAAAGTTCTGGTTGTTCATCCACTTCTGGAAACAGTCCTGTTCCAGAACCTGAGTGTTGCATGTGCATCCGTTTTACATATCTGACTCATTTGTATGCAGACTGCTGGGTCCTAGCCTCTCAGGCAGATGTACTCCGACCTTGAAGGAAGCTCCAAGGACACAAGGAGAATAAGATCAGGGATGAACCGGCACGGGCGCCATGATGATTTCGCGTCCAGTTCCCAGACCACAGGACCAGTACTTTCGCAACAGCCCTCAGCATTTGGACAGCCACAAGAAACGACGCATTCGTGACTGGCAACATGGCGTCTGCCTGACCCGTACACATACAAAGATGTCTACACATGTCTTATATCGATTGACGGGATACGCGAGGGTTTCTTCTGACCCGTACACATACAAAGATGTCTACACATGTCTTGTATCGACTGACGGAACACGCGCGGGTTTCTTCTGTCTGCTGCTCCTGGATGGCAATCATGTACTTTTATATGATAAGAATTTATGCCTCTTTCTCTCTCTCTCTCTCTTTCTCTCTCTCTCTCTCTCTCTCTCTCTCTCTCTCTCTCTCTCTCTCTCCTGTTCTTGCTGCCCATATCTTCTACGCTCTCTCTCTCTCTCTCTCTCTCTCTCTCTCTCTCTCTCTCTCTCTCTCTCTCTCTCCTGTTCTTGCTGCCCATATCTTCTAGGACGTAGATTCTGAGATAAACTTGTTTTGTGAACATGTTCAGTGCACCTTTTAGACTGCTTGTTCTTTGTCCAGGTTTGTGTAACACAACACACAGTACTGGCGGTCAGTCGCACAAACATCGAAAAGAATCTATGCACTTACAGACAACACTCTACTCACAGTCTTGTGGATTCTAATCGGTGATAGTGTGTTGGTGAGCTGTACTAAGAAACTAATTGCGCTAACTGCAGGAGAAATTGTGAACTTTTGTACAGATATCGATTTACAGTGAAAATCATTAGGTTTTGATCTCATTATTCCAGTAAATATCATTTATCGCGAAAACGTAAATAAGCTCTATGTATATAAAAAGTGCTACCGACTGACTTTCTACCCAACCAAGACATCACACAAGCGATAAACACCCGATGACACAATGTGCCGCCAAGCGGGTGAGGATAACAGTGGAGAGGTCCCAGAAACCGCGTACAGCCATTAGGCCATATTTATGGCCCGGATATATTCAGGGTCCCCGGAAAAAGCCAGGGTGGGACTTACTTTTGAGGACGACTTGTGAAAACCAGTCATATCTACAGCCATGGCTTCGGCATATTTCGTCACAGTAACCGACACTCACTCAAAGTCACACTTCGCTACCAAACATGTGATTACCTCCCTTGAACGTGTATTTCATCAACTGCCGACCTCAGGGGTAATCACTCTATGTCACAAGCTTGGCACATTGTCGTACTCAGCTGGCATATTATGGCTGTAGAATTGCATTTTAAAACTAGTTTTTCTTGAACTCTAACAACATATTAAACATTGTATGGGATGGTATTCCACAGACAAGTATTAAAATACATTTGGTGAGTACAAGTAATTAGAATGAATGTAGATTGATTTACTCCAGGGTTATTGAACTAGTCAGAGGCCACAATATAGGCAGGCCATAGATATGGCCAATTGTCTGAACGCGGTTTCTGGGACCTCTCCACGGCGATCCTCATCCACATGGTGGCACTTTGTGTCATCGGGTGTTTATCGCTTGTGTGATGTCCTGGTGGGGTAGAAATTTATTCAAATAGTCAGCTCTGTGGCTAAGTCGATGCGAACGCTTCGTAATGCCGGAATGCCGGGTTCGATCCCAGCTGCGGGCCATATGCGTTGCGTTGGTTTCGACAGTGGTATCAAGAAAGCCGACCGTCCAGGAGCAACGGCAAACTACTAGACGTAAATTTGTTTAGAAAAACCACACAACAGCCATGGGCTGGTTGGTTCTGCAACGTCCTGTAAAGGATATGCAACTAACCTTATTCAACTAGATTTATTTAAAGACCAAAATTTTGAAAACGGGGATCTATATTCTGATCCGGGCACAGTGT